TGACACACCAAATGCACATTTCTCAGGATTTAACTTCATGTTAAATTTGCGAAGAATCTGAAATGTATCCGACATGTGTTGAATATGATCCCCTGCTTGTTGTGATTTGACTAGCATATCGTCTGTATACACCTTCATGGTTTTTCCTAGATGTTCTTGAAATATTTTGGCCACTAGCCTTTGGTATATGGCCCCAGCATTCTTTAGGCCGAACGACATGACTTTGTAACAGTAAGTCCCCCTGTTTGTGATAAAGGAAGTTTTTTCTTCATCTAGAGGGTCCATTTTAATCTGATTATATCCTGAATAGGCATCTAAAAAACTTAATAATTTGTGTCCTGTAGTAGCATCAATTAGTTGATCTATGTGCGGTAATGGAAAAGAATCTCTAGGGCAAGCTTTATTTAGATCAGTATAATCTACACAAACTCGCTACTTACCATTCTTTTTGGGCACTACTACAGTATTAGCCAACCAATCTGGATACTTTACCTCACGGATGGACCCGATTTTTAAAAGCTTTTGCACCTCATCTTGAATCACCTGATTCTTGAAGGAACCTTGCTTTCTTTTCTTTTGTTTGACAGGTGGGTATGATGGATCTTCATTTAATTTGTGGGTCATTACCTCCGGTGGTATACCTGTCATATCTGAATGGGACCAAGCAAACCAATATACGTTAGCCTTTAAAAATTCAATCAACTTACGTTTCATCTCCAGGCTGAGGTTGGTCCCAATGTAGACTTTTCTGTTAGGCCAATGCACAAATAGTACCACAGCTTCCAGTTCCTCGATTGTTGTTTTGATGTTTTTATTTTCTTCTGGTTCTTGAATAGTATCAGGGCTCGAGTCTACATCTGTTTGCCCGTCTTCAGTTGGGGCTTGTGTTGCTGCATCCTCAACTGAATTATGTGATTGCTATTTTTCGTTGCTTTCTGCGCTTGAATCTGCCACGGAGTTAATGCTCCGAGAAGCTTGTTGGTCACCACGGATTTGCCGTATTCCCCATTGTGAAGGAAACTTGATAACTTGATGTAAAGTAGATGGAACACCATCCATTTCGTGAATCCACGGTCTGCCAAAAATCATATTGTAAGCCATATCCATTTCTACTACTTGAAATTTGGTGTCTTTGACTACTTCTGCGAATGTGGTGAGTATTATCTCCCCTTTTGTTACAATGCTCGAGTTGTCAAAACCAAACAAGGTGCATGCCTTGGGTATCAGCTTATCATTTGCTTGCATCTCGTTTACCACTCTCAATAGAATGATATTTACAGAACTACCTGGGTCATTCACAACTCATTTTACATTAGTGTCATGTACAAGTAAAGATATTACCAGTGCATCGTTATGCGGGGTCAGCACGCTATGTGCATCTGCATTATCAAATGTTATACTATCTTCTTCCAAAACCTGTCGAACTTGCTTCCCGTGGGTAATTGTAATTTTTGACACCTTCTTTGCTTCCGTATATGTTATGCTATTGATCTCCTCCCCTCCACTTATGACATTAACCGTCCTCTTTGGTGAAGGAGGTTTTAGCTGTTCCTGCATATTCTTCATATATGCTTGCTTTCCCTTTTCACTGAACAATTCGATTAAGTAACCTTGTTTTAATAAATGCTCTACTTCACCTTGTAACAATCTGCAATCCGCCGTTTTGTGACCGTGATCATTATGAAATTCGCACCAAAAATCGGGATTTCTCCTGTTTGGGTTTGATCTCATTTCTTTTGGCCACCGTACCTTGTCTTCCATGCTTCTTAAAACAGCCACCAACTCGGATGTGCTAACATTGAAACTGTAGCCGCCGATTTTTGCTTTTGAGCTTCTTTCATCGTCTCGCGTATCTCGCATGTTTCATTCTTTTCCGAACCTTGATGATGAACCTGACTCTCTATCCCTTGATCTAGGATCATACCTCGGGTTTTCTTGTTTCGAATGCGAATCCCTTCCTGATGGTCCCATATAAGGCTCATACCTGTTTTTACCGGACCTTTTTTCGGTCTCTGCCCTTCTTGAACTTACTCTTTCATCTTTCCGAGACTGAGTGATAGCGTCTTCTTCTATCCGCAGCTTTGTGATGTACCTGTTGTAAACATCATTCCAAGTTGTTGCAGGAAATTCTCGTAAGCTTTCTTTGAGTTTCCTCGTGGCTTCCGAGCTTTTTTCATTTAGATTACTGGCAAAGGCCATAGCCGCCCAGTTATCAAGTACATGTGGCAACATTATCCTTTCACGCTGAAATATGTCTACGAATTCCCTGAGCAACTCCATATCTCCTTGTTTCATTTTGAAAATGTCCTCCATTCTTTTTTCACCTTTTTGAGCTCCCGAGTGTGCTTTGATAAATGAATCTGCCAGCTCAGCAAAAGAATCAATAGAATTTTCAGGTAAAAGAGAATACCATGTCAATGCTCCCTTCGTGAGTGTTTCTCCAAATTTTTTGACCAACACAGACTCAATTTCTTGCTTGGTCAAATCGTTGCCCTTTACACCAGTTGTTAATGCAGTTACGTGATCTCGTGGATCAGTTGTTCCATCGTACTTTGGAATATCAGGCATCTTGAATTTCTTTGGAATTGGTAAAGGAGCGGCACTTGGCTTCCAAGGTTGTTGGGAGTATTTCTCCATATCTATCCTCTTGATTACGGGCGGTACTCCAAGTATCTGCTCTATGCCATCGCTCTACTCCTTGAGCTATTTCTGCAAAGTTAGTACTAAACTTTGTAAATCATAATTAACTGGGTTACCTGACCCTCCATCACGAGATTCGCTGGGAGTTCCTCCACTGCCTGAGTTAACGAGTCCCGAGCGAGGATTTTCTATGGTGTTGTTGTTTGGAGTTGGTGTTGGTGGTACAGCCGGCAACTGGCTAGCAAAAGCCTGAAGAACATTATTGACCTGTTGAGCGATTAATTTTTTCAAAGCTTCATCAATAGCCTGGTCATTCTCAAACTGCTCAATCATATTTGATTCAGATTCGTCAGGAGTTCCCTCTCGAGATTGTCGAGGAGAGTTTTGCTGTGAGGGGACTGGAGTTCCATCACCTTGTTGATTCTCCTGATGTTGCTGATTTTCTTGGTGCTGCAGATTTTGTTGGTTATTGTCGATGACGTTCAACATGATTGTTTTGACAAAAGAATTGATTTAGAAAGTAAAAGATTATTAGATTCCCGATAACGGAACCAATTTGTTAACCAGAAAATAGGAATTTCGGTCAAAGCGTAATTTTAGAAGAACTCGGGTTACTGATAATCAAATAAGAAAATAATTACGTAACAAGAAAGGAAAATTGGACTGAGAAGTAGCCGAGTAAGCAATAAAAAGTAATGTAAATGAGTATATTCCAATAATAATCAGTGTCCCTATACAAATGTTACTTCTCTCCTTTTTATAGCTATTTCTAAGTACTACGTTTCTTGCCTATCATAAAAGAGTCATTATGAGCAAATAATGACATTAATGAGACGTTATGAGTGGCAATCGTAACTGTTTCGTAAAGATTCTATAACGTTCCCCATCATTAATTGCTGATATTATGTATCTGTACTTTTTGTTGTCTTGGTTCATTCCACCGGTGTCTCTTCAAATTATCAAGAGATCCGAGTAACCGTTCCTTCTTGTTTTCTTGAACCTTTGCCCGTACCTATTAAGACCCGCGTCTCTTTGTGTACTCTTTGCCAGCTGTCACTCTTCTATTAATCCACGTGTCTTGACATGTCATCCACATAACTAATTCCAAATGTTAACTCGATTTTTCCCAATACAATCATACCTCATGGAGTGCAATCCTTCTCCGGATCCTGTGTAAACGCGGGATATCTTGTGCACCGGGTTGCAGAGGCAGAGCCATGATTTGAAACTTATGGGTTTAGAATTCTAGTTCTTTTTAGTTACTGATTCTAACTTAATAATTTGTGCATATTCAATAAATTTGTTAAGACAAATATAATGTTCGGACCTAAGCTACTGGTTCGACCGAACCCTTAGCTGAAGGCTGGCTCTGCCCCTGCCTGGTTGCCCCTTTTTTCCCTGCAAATATTCAGGTTGTCCTTTGTTCTTTCTCAGTATATTTTGTATTGTTATGTAAAATACATCCATAGTTCTTGGCGATTTTTTCATCTGTTGAAGATGAGAGAGATGGGGAATTGAAGGAGAAATGCTGAATAAATTGATAGATACAGATGAGATTTAGTGTATGTTTCTTTACGTTTTTTTTCCTTTATTTATAGCTTTAACTAAGGTTGGTATGCTTTAACGTCCTAATTAAATTAAATTTCATGACTGAGGGGTGACAAAATTTCCATCTTATTTGAAATTTAAATCATTTGAGAATACTGGTGGAGGTTATAGATAGAAATTATAGAGAAGAGAAATGGGAGGTACAAATTGTTGTGGAAATTAGTACTAAATGATAAAGATATTTTCTATTGTTAATAATTGATATAAATCTGAATGCAAATAGATATCCATGCGCTACTATTAGGAGAAACTCTNGGGGGGGGGAGAGAATCCTTGTTAAGGAAAACAAACACAGTATTCCTTTTAAAATACACGACCGATTATCATTTTTTCAATAGTAATTTTTACCAGGAAAAACTCAAAAATAATTTTTATATATGACTATCAAGCGGAGGTGGACTCACGATTTTAACTGGACGGGGGAACCTGCACCAATATACCCTAAAAGCTTTTAGTGTGTTATAATGATCGAATCTCACCATTTGAGGATAATTGAAGATGAAATGCAGACCATTTCTAACTGGAGAGAAAGAGAGAAAGAGAATCTCACCACTTGAGGATGATTGAAGATGAAATGCAGACCACTTCTAACTGGAGAGAAAGAGAAACCCGTTTCTTATTTCCGTTTTCTGTCTTTTTCTATACCCAAGTGCAGTATATATCAAAGTTAATAAAAAAAACAAAAATACCCAATACTATTACAAACAAAGTGTATCTAACTATATTTGGGCCTTGCTTAGTTGGGCCTCCGTCTATGATTGGGCTGCCATATTAGTGTCCATGTTTTCATCCCCCCTCAAGCTGGAGGGTGGGAACACTCCCAGCTTGGAGAGAATATTACGATGAGCAGCACCATATAATGACTTTGTCATAAGATCAGCCAGCTGAGTATTAGAAGAAACAAAATGTAAAGAGATCAATCCATCAGTCAAACAATCACGCACAAAGTGGCAATAGACCTCGATGTGTTTTGTGCGCTCGTGAAAAACAGGATTCTTAGCACTGTGGAGAGCAGCTTGGCTGTCACAATAGATAGGAATAGGAGCAGCAACTGACAACCCAAGGTCACCCAAAAGTCTACGAAGCAAGAAAGTTCAGCAACTACCATACGAAGGGCCCTGTATCCTGCTTCAGCAGAAGAGAGAGAGAGATAGTGGGTTGTTTCTTACTTTTCCAAGAAATTGGACTACCACCAAGAGTGATAAAGAAACCAGTGACAGATTTGCGAGAATTAGCACAAGCAGCCCAGTCGGTGTCGGAATAAGCCTTGAGAGAATAGTCAGGTGACTGAGAAAGGAGAATACCTTGAGCGGGAGCATTCATGATGTATCGGAGGACATGGAGGCCAGCCAACATGTGTGGCACCTGAGGAACCTATAGGAATTGACTGAGGTGTTGGACAGAAAATGAAATATCTGGCTTGGTATGCTGAAGAAAATTGAGCTTGCCAATGAGTCGCCTATATGTGCTAGCATCAGCGGGGGGTTGATTCATATCAACCAAAAATTTGGAGGAAGGGTCAAGTGGAGTCACAACAGAACTAAAATGATCACACTTAAACTCAGCAAGGAGATCCGAAGCATACTTTTGTTGACTCATAACATAACCAGCAGGTTGTTTGGATATTTCCAACCCCAAAAAATAGTGCACAAGACCAAGGTCTTTAATTTTAAATTGGTTATCCAAAAACTTCTTCAAATCAGTCAATTCAGAAAGATCATCCCTAGCAAGAAGGATATCATCAACATAAACAGCAAGCACAATAAGGGAATCACCAGAGAACTTGGTGAAGAGGAAATAATCATTCTTGCTAGAGCAATAACCTCTGGACAGCAAAGCCTCAGACAATTTTGAAAATCATTGTCTAGAGGCTTGCTTAAGACCATATAAAGACTTTCTGAGTTTGCAAGCAAGAGAAGAGGTAGAAAAAGAAGAAGGAGAAGAAATAGAAGACACCTCTAGGCCAGGAGGAATCTTCATGTACACCTCTTCATGTAAATCACCATGTAAAAAGGCATTATTTACATCAAGTTGGAAAACTGTCCAATTTCTCTTGATGGCTAAAGATAGTAAACATTTGATGGTGGTCATCTTCACAACGGGAGAGAAGGTTTCAGTATAGTCAATACCCTCCTTTTGAGTGTCCCCCCTTATAACCAATCTTGCCTTATACCTATCTATGGATCCATCAGACTTTTGTTTGATTTTGTATACCCATTTACAAGGAATGGCCTTCTTATGTGGTGGAAGTGGGACTATGTCCCATGTGTGATTAGCCTCAAGAGCTTCAAACTCTTTCATCATGGCTTGTTGCCAAGCAGGATGTGAGACTGCTTGTTGATAGTACTGAGGTTCATGTAAAGATATTGTAGAAGTAGATAAAAGAGGGGCAGAATCAGAAGAAGAAGGTAGGACAGTATTGGAAGAGGTAACATAAGAACAAACATAGTCAGAAAGATAAGAAGGTGGGTTAACATATCTGGAGGATTTTCTTATGGGAGGAGAGGGTAAAGATTGGTTCAGGATAGAAGGATGTGGAGGTGAGGAAATATTAGGCATGAGAGGAGAAATAGGTATAGGAGAATGATGTAAAACAGGACTAGGAGGAGTATGAGCAGTAGGTAGGGCTGCCTGTGAAGGAAAAGAAGGAGGAGGTGAAGGAGTATCAACAAATATGGGAGGAGTAGGTAGGGAGACTGTAGAAGGAGTAGGAGAATGATAAGGAAAAATTGTTTCATAAAAGTGAACATCTCTAGAGTAAAAGATAGAGTGATTAAGAAGACTTAGAAGTTTATAGCCTTTCTTGCCACAAGGATAACCAATAAAAACAGCAGGAATTGATCTACTTTGAAACTTATCTCTCCCAGGTTTAGGTGAAGAAGCATGGCATAGGCATCCAAAAGACCTAAGATGGTCATAAGAAGGAGAATTGCCATGTAATTTTTCAAAGGGAGAAGTGTTTTGCAAAACAGAAGAAGGGAATCTGTTTAAGTAAGTGGCAGTCAGAACACATTCACCCCAGTATTTCAAAGGAAGTTTAGATTGGAAAAGTAATGCCCTTGATACTTCTAGAAGGTGTTTATGTTTCCTCTCAACCACTCCATTTTGTTGTGGAGTGTGAGGAATGGAGGTTTGGTATAAAATGCCATTATCAGAGAAGAAAGTTTTACATTCAGAACTTCCTCCTAATTCAAAAGCATTGTCGGACCGAAAAATTTGAACACTAGAATGGAAGTGAACTTTAACCATGGAAACAAAAGCCTTTAAGACAGGAAGGGCATCACTTTTGCAGGTTAGTAAATGAGTCCAAGTTACTCTAGAAAAATCATCAACTAGAGTAATGAAATATCTGAAACCATTGTAAGTTCTTGTGTGGTATGGCCCCCATATATCAATATGTACTAAATGAAAAGGAACATTAGAGTGAATAGAACTATCAGAAAATGGCAACCTTTGTTGTCTAGCCATAGGACATACAGAACAAAGGAATGGTTGTTTAGATGAAAGTTTTCCAGATAAAAAAAAAATAGTTTTCATCTTATTGAAGGGCATGTGACCTAGTCGTTGATGCCAAAAGAGATCATTTTTATTTCCAACATTTGAACCATTACATGGTACAACAAGTACAGTAGGATTTGTATAAGAATCATGATTAGCATGAGAAGATGTCACATGTTCAGAACAAAGAGAAGTACAAACATGAGCAACATTTAAAGTATGAGGAACATTTAGACTAAGATAAGAAACATTAGGACAGACTGAAGTAGATGAGTTTTCTGGGTGCAAGAAGTACAATCCTTTAGAAGCTTTACCAATTTCCAATGGCCTCTTCAGAGAAGGGCCCTGTAGAAAACAAGCAAATTTGGTAAGAATTGCAAAACAATCAAGTTGGACAATCAATTTGTGAATAGATATCAAATTAAAATGAAATGAAGGTACAAGAAGTACATTGTGTAGAGTTATGTCATGTCTTAAGAGTAAAGATCCAGTAGATATAACCTTTACTTTGTAACCATTAGGGAGAGTAATCAGGAAAGGAACAGATAAAGGTTTGAGGTTGTGAAGAAAATGTTTGTGTGGTGTCATGTGATTAGTTGCCCCAGAGTCTAGAATCCAAGAATCTACATCTACTTTTGATAATCCACAAACATGAAAATCAGTACTACTAACAACATAACAGAACACACCTGCAAAGCTAGCAAATGCAGCATTTTCACCAAGAGAAGCATCAGGAGTGAATTCAGGAGCAGAATACCCAGGTGTATGTTGAGGAGGTGTAACATGTGTCTTGTGGAGTAGGCTCAGAAGATGATGATATTGCTCTTTAGTGAAACCATGAGGAGCAGAACTTTGATCAGCATAATCTGGAGTAAATGTAGAATTCTGAACACAAGAGGCTGAACCCTTTCTATTCTTGGTGAACTTAAATTCAGGAGGGAACCCATGAAGTTTGTAGCACTTGTCAATAGTGTGACCCTGCTTCTTACAGTACTTACAAAAAACAGAGGATGAGGGTTGCTTCTTTGAATCAAACTGAACCCTTTGAGAGAATGACCTGTTGTTGAAACTCTGTCCAGCAGAAGCAGAAAATGAAGCTAAATCATTTGAGAAATTTGGGATGTGATTTGTGCTTTCCTTCTGATGTTCATCATGCTGGAGCATGGAATATGCTTTGCTTATGGAAGGATAGGGAGACATCATCATAATGTTGGTTTTACATGAAGAATATGTGTCATTTAACCCACTAAGGAACTGGAACAATTGTTGATCTTCTAAGAGTTTAGGTAGAGCTCCACAGGTACATGTTGGACCCACATAAGCAGCGTTGAGTTCATCCCATAACCCTTTCATCCTAGTATAGTATGTTGCTATGTCTAAAGATCCTGGGGTAGTAGCACTAATTTCTCTCTGAATCTGAATGTATTTTGACCCATTGGATTGACCAAACCTTTCATTTATGTCTTTCCAAATGTCTTTAGAAGTATTGAATCCTATAAGACTGATTGAAATCTCTCTAGTCAAAGAATTTGTCATCCACGCAATGAGCATGTCATTGCACCTCTCCCAAGCAGAATAATAAGGAGAATTTGGTTCTGGTTGGGGATTTCTTCCTGTTATTACCCCGAGTTTATTTTTGGCAGAAAGTGCAACTAGCATATCCTTTCGCCATACTACAAAACCACGACCATCGAATGAAGGAGATACTAGGGGAGTATTAGGATTATCTGATGGATGAATGTAAAAAGGATGTGAAGGATCAACGGAGAAAATGGTGAAACCTTCGGTGTTCTGAGTAATCGAAACACTAGTAGACGTCAAACCAGTGACCATGATTCAATTCTACAAGACTATGTCTAACTAATTTTACTTCGCACAAATTTTCTAGAAAAATCAGAACAGATTCTAGAAACAATTAGAACAGAAGAAATTGTACCGTCCTTTTGCTAAACACATGAGGCCGATCTGGATTTGAATCGTCCTAAGCACACGTACAAGAAGAAGCAGCTTGAACGGAGATGAAATCGGAACTGCCCTAATTTTCCGGCGAACGAAACATCGTGTAAATCCTCAGAGAAAACTGGTGAGGGTAATATCGATCGGAAGCTGAGATCGTGAGGAAGCTAAATCCTTGCTCTGATACCATGTTATAATGATCGAATCTCACCATTTGAGGATGATTGAAGATGAAATGCAGACCATTTCTAACTGGAGAGAAAGAGAGAAAGAGAAACCCGTTTGTTATTTCTGTTTTCTGTCTTTTTCTGTACCCAAGTGCAGTATATATCAAAGTTAATAAAAAAACAAAAATACCCAATACTATTACAAACAAAGTGTATCTAACTATATTTGGGCCTTGCTTAGTTGGGCCTCCGTCTGTGGTTGGGCTGCCATATTAGTGTTCATGTTTTCATAGTGTTTAGGGTGCCAAGTGATTTAAATTAATTATTTTCAAGGTATATACATATTTTAATACAAGATTTCTACATAAGTTTATGAGTCCCGTGATCCCTCAAGGTTACACATAGGCGCACATCTCCTAGCAAGTTACACTAGTAACGCTATTGCACTTGTATCTGGTTCTTTATAACTGTGAAGTTCATATCTTTTTATGTTAGAAAAGGGTCTTTACTGCTACAAGTGACCTTACAATCAGTGAAATACTTCATGGATGTTCTTTATCTGTAAATAATATTCTACTAAATTGCAAATATTTAGCAAATTAATAAGATTTTTTTTTCTTTTTCACCAATTTTTTTTTTAAAAATAATTATGATGTATGTTACTGAATTTGTACAGGGTACAATGGACAATGCCAGGTAACCACAAGCAAGCAATATGCAGTTGGCAAGGTGACGACAGAATTAATATAAAGAAATAAAAAAGTGGAAATAAATGAGAAAATAGAAATAGAATAAGAAAGAAAAAGAAGAATTCTAATAACGGAAGCACTAATAAACCCAACCTAGTATACTTAGAATCCACTAATTAGCATTCAATCGGTAGAATAAAACTAACAAGCAAGAGAAAATGAACTCGTACATATTGAATAGGCAAAAAGGCCTCCTGGCCATTTAAACTTGTACCCGATTGTCGTACCGGTAAATGAACTTTCAAAATTCCTATATGAACACTTAAACATGAGCATAAGTGAACTAATAAACACCTCCGACCTATGACTCGTAGGGTCAAAGTAGACCTTTCTATTATATTTTCTTGGAGGAAGGTTATGCACCTCATCATCTGCATCAACATCATCATCAGTACTATCCTCACTCCCTGGATCTGAACTATCTAGGTACTGCTCATCCTCACCCAACTTGCAAGCATATTTAGTAGTCTTGTCCTTGTAAATGTCTTAAAATCCAAGGCCAATGCCTATTGTGCCACTAGGTAGCTCATCTACATTAATATCACTAGATATCTCTTTCCAGTTCTTCTGATTTACTTAGATCTGCAGCAACAAGGTCAGCGTCTGTATCACTTGTCTCTCCTACGATATCCTCATCAGCATCATACAGTGAGTCATCTGTATCCTCTTCAGCAGGAACACCCTCATATTCACCTCACTCTCATAATTACTCTCAAATTCATCACAATCTGAATTTGTGGCTAGATGAAAGTTGTAGTACTCCCCTTTATCCTCAGTAGACTCTTCTATATCAGCAGCCCTCCTTTTATCCCTCCCCTCAGTGAAACAATCACTATTTATATCATTGGTGGGTGAGTTTGTTGCCCTAGCATTAGCTCTAGTTGTTTGCCCTTGTGGCACTTCACTAAAGCCAACTGTTTGGTCATATGGGATATCACTGGAGTCCATACTACTACTTAACATTTCATCCAATTCAATATCAATACATGGTATATTAATAGTGTGGCATAAATAAACATCAATAAAATCCCCATCATGAAGATCTTTGCAGAATTCTAACACATCAACATCATACTACATAAATCAAAATGGTCCTTTTTTATTGACTCGACATGCAAATTTCTCCACATCTAAGTACCTCATATCATTTGCCTATTTGTTGAATTGAACAACATGCAATTCATCAGTGTCTTTAGTTACAATAAAAGGCCATGTTATACCATTTTCAAACCTCATTAATGGGCCAGCTACCAGTTGTCCTTAATGGTGAAATTGTAATTGCACAAGAACAACCATCCTGCCTCACTACGCCTATGAAAATAAGATAAGTCCAAATCAGTAAAATATTCAAAAGAAAGAGACAATATTGTTTGAAAAAGAACAAGCAAATGCGGGAAAAGCCCTAATTTTAAACTCTAAATAACAAAAGAATCATTGCATGCATACAAAATATTATTCTACCATGACCAACTTCAATAACGAATAAAAATACACGAAAACAATCAGAAATTTCATGAAAGACAACAATTGGACCTTTAATGACTTCTATGTTTCTGGTGGAGGAGAAAGCGACGGTACACGATTGTCTCAAATTCTTATTTTGGGACCGATTTTGAAAGAAAAATGCATAAACACAACCTTCAGATGATCTAGTGAAATCCAATGACAACGTTCATTCCATTTTGAGCTGACGAGTGAAAATGTTAGAGGGGAATGAGAGAGATGACTGAAAAAATAAAAATGAAATTAGTCTTTTAAAGCAAAAATGAATGGAAAATATTCGGTGCTTAGTGGTTTTCGCACCTAACACATGGCAAGTTTTTAATCGTTTATTGCTGACTGGATTGCCACATTTGTGAAATTGTGATGCACCCGCTATGAGTCACAGGTCGGAGGTGTTTATTAGTTCACTTATGCTCAAGTTTAAGTGTTCATATGGGAATTTTGAAAATTTATTTACCTGCATGACAATAGGGTACAAGTTTAAGTAGCCAGGAGGCCTTTTTGCCTATTGAATACTTACCAGAAAAATTCAAGATAGATTCAATTGAAGAGTAATAGGAAAATGCCACAAAAAAAGTCCATCATCAACAATCCATCATAATCTTAGCTCTAACCAAAGGCTATTTAGAGTGATAAACTAAAGGGAATCTTACATAAATGTCCAAAATAGTCCCAACTTACCAACCTCTAGCCATTAATCATAGACTTGCTAAAACTAGCCAAACACATATAAAACTTGAAAATCCAAAGAATTAAGGTTCCTTCTCTCCAAGAATCACACACAAAGACCTCCTTCCATATTTTTAAGCATGATTAGCAACATTAGATGCAAGACGGAAAGAAATTTCATGAATGAGGTAGCAAATAAGGTGATGAAATACAAAATTTATATATACAAGATTCCAAAAATCTAAGAAAAAATGACTTTTTTCAATGGGTATGGTTGATATTTATTGAAAACATGTGAATGAGTCAATACACAATTTCGAGGAAGATTGGAGGTGATTTGGATTGATTTGGTATCAAAATATGTAGTTAAAATCGTGTTCAAAAATTCTTCTGCAGCACATGTATCAAACTTGTATCACGCATGTATACATGTGATACACACGCATGTATACATGTGATACATATTTGATACAAATATGATACATATGTGATACACAGTGTGATACACCGATTATTTTTTTTCATGTTCATCTTCTACTTCGAATTTTCAATTCAAACCATCTCAAAACTCTATCAAATCATCTCAAAATTGAGATTCAAGCCCCTTAAAATGTAGCCAATCTATTCTAATAACACTCACTCAAAAGAAAACAAAATTTTGACCTTTTTGGCTACAAATAGTTAATTAGCTAATATTTGATCAATATTAATAATATTTGGATCAATTTTTGTAATAAGCTACTTATAAATAGATATAGCTGGTGTTTCCCCTAAACTAAATAAGCTAAATGGACTAAGTCCCGAGTCTAAATATGTCAAAACAAGTAAGAGCATAAACTAAATGGGCCACGTATAATCTCTTTTGAGTCATGGTCAACTTTTGTCACACGGCATTTAAACTTGGTCAGCAGTGATCAAACTTAGTCAACTCATCGTAGAGCTCCCCGATCTTCTTAAATGATGTACGCCATAGTCTAATTGTTGTCACAATGACACAAGGTGAGGAAGAAAGAGAATTAAATCTAGAAGATTGGCCATTTTTGTTAAAATAAAATCATAGGTGTTATGTATTGGAGACATAATTAAGTAAATAAAAGTGTGTTATCTCTAACATCTTTAGCTTTCAGATGAGATGACCAAATATTTTAATGTGGTATCGGAGTAGGCAGAAGTCCTGGGTTCGAGTCCTACCGCCATTCAATATCAAAAAGAATTTTCACGTGCTTGGCTCATAACAAAAAAATCACTACAAGAAAGTAAGGATACCACGACATTAAATAAATATCGTATAATGCTGCTTAAATGCCACAAATTCATTTACCGACATTTAATTTATATTTGTATCAAATGTCGTAAATTTTAGGGTCGGAAATTTTTTGTCACAACCCGGATTTCCCACCCTCGGGAGTCGTGATGGCGCCTACTCATAGAAGTTAGGCAAGCCAAATTTAGATCTTTTCCTTTAATAAACAATCCTTCAAAAATAATATTTAAACAATGAAAATCAACAATAATAAGCGGAAGTCTTAAATTTAAATAGCTAAGCAAGATACTGAATTCCAACATAATCTCTACCCCGGATCTGGAGTCACATACTCACGAACATCTAAGGAATACTAAATACAAGGTCTGAAAGAAACATAAATCTGTTTATCCCGAATACAAAGAGATGACAGTCTAATGTAAGGATAGAAGGGAGACGCTGGGCCTGCGGATGCCTGCAAGGCTACCTCGGGTCTCTCCGGACTGGAAGATATGCTCCTGAACTAAAGTTGTTGCTGCTGCTCGAAACCTGGACCTGTGCAAAAATGCACAAAGTGTAGCATCAGCACAACCGACCCCATGTGCTGGTAAGTGTCTAGCCTAACCCCGGCTAAGTAGTGACGAGGCTAGACCAGACTACCACATAAACCTGTGCAATTTCATATATATACAGTGGAATCCAAATACAAAACAGATAAACAATATGGGAGGGGAACATGCTGTGGGGAGTAAAATAAATTCCAAATAAGAGTCGTCCAATAATAAAGGAATACAGCACAACTCAATAGTATGTAATGAAACAGAATTCAACCAGTGCACGGCATCACCCTTCGTGCTTTTACTCTCGTCCTCACCAAGCAATAACATGTGCACGGCATCACCCTTCGTGCTTTTACTCTCATTCCTCACATATATCAATAGAATCGGCACGGAATGGTACATCGTGCGGCACGACATCACCCTTCGTGCTTTAACACTCTTTCTCATAATAAGCAACAATGCACGGCATCACCCTTCGTGATTTACACTCTTTCCTTACCATAAACAAACAGTGCACGACATCACCCTTCTTGCTTTAATACTCTTCCTCACCCAATCAACAATCACAAACAAGGGCAAGGGAAATAAATAAACAATAATGAAAATCACGGCAAGGGAACACAAACAACAATTAAGAACCCGGCAAGGGTACAATATCAATAACCACAACGTCCCGGCAAGGGAATAAATCATCAACTCTTTCCTTTCTTTCACTTTCATTTCATAGTTCACATTATCACTTGAGCCAATGCTCCAAAGAGTTGCTTATCTCATATACCTTCACAAATTGTATTTCAACCCGAGCCAATGCTCCACAAAGTTTCAAGATCATAATTTCTTTCACAGGGTATTTACAACATATAGAAATCACCGTTTAAGCATGGAAGGCATAACAACAACCAAACTATTCGCAAATAAGGACTCACGGTCATGCATGACACCAATGTATAGATACTCGTCACCATGCCTATACATCGTACTCAACAATTAGCAAGTTACAAATAAGACTCAACTCCTATTCCCTCAAGCTAGGGTTAAACCAAACACTTACCTCGATGCCTTGAACTCAACTCAAGCCTCAACTATGGCTTTACCTCGTAATTCCACCTCCAAACCGCTCGAATCTAGCGACAAATTACTTAATTACATTAATAAACACTAAATGAATCAATTTGAATGCATAAAAATGAATTTTCCAAAGTTTTTCCCAAAAATTCCAAAATCGCCCCCGGGCCCACGTGGTCAAAACCCGAGGTTCGAACCAATACTCGGTTACCCATTCCCTCACGAACTCAAATATGTAATTTGTTTTAAAATCGGACCTCAAATTGAGGTCCAAATCCCCAATTTATAGAAAACCTAGGTTCTACCCAAAAACCCCAATTTCACCAATGAAAATCCTTGATTTTAAGTGGAAAACATGTTAAATGATGTAAAAGGTTGAAAGAATTGAGTAAAAATCGACTTACAATTGATTTGGGATGAAGTTTGTTCTTGAAAAATTGCCTATGGTGTTTGGGTTTTGAAAGAATGGTGAAAAGTGATGAAAATTCGACTATGAAAAAAATTTGCTGGGCTGCGGATATGGGAATTGCGAAACTGGGTTCGCAATTGCGAACCCTGCAGGCTTGGGAAATGCGACACCTTGGTTCGCATTTGCAAACTCAGGTCTGGAGGCCAGGCTTCGCATATGCGAAAATGCGATCGCATTTGCGAAAATGCGATCGCATTTGCGAAAATGCGATCGCATTTGCGAAAATGCGATCGCATTTGCGATCAGTGGCCTCTCGCATTTGCGAGAAAAATCCTCGCATTTGCGACCTGTGCGTAATTTCCCAGACCTCGCAATTGCGACTCGAAGCTCGCAATTGCGAGTCTCCCCTTCGCATTTGCGAAAACCACAGAAGCCAACATACCAGATTTTCAAAAAAAATGAGAAATGCAATCCGATGCCTATCCAAAACTCACCCGAG